TTGCAGTCGTATAAAGCAGAGGTCCCCAACCTCTTGTCAGTGAACCAGTACCTGTCCATGTCCTGTTAGGAACCAGGCCCCACCGCAGGAAGTGAGCAAGGGCAAGCAAGCAGAGCTTCATCTGCTGCTCCCCATCATTCCCATCGCTTGTATTACCATCTGAACCACTTCTCTCCCCTGCCCCCATCCTTGGAAAGATTCTCTTCCACAAAACTGGTCCCTAGCTCCAAAAAGTTCTGATGCTGAAGCTGAAACTGCAATACTTTGGCCACCTGATGCAAGGAACTGACTCATTGGAAAAGACCCTGATGCTGGGAAAGATTGAAGGTAGGAGGAGAAGGGGACGACAGAGAATGAGGTGGTTGGATGGCATCACCAACTCAATGGACATGAGTTTGACTAAGCTCTGGGAGTTCGTGATGGACAGGGAGGCCTGGCGTGCTGCAGTCCATGGGGTCGCAAAGAGTCAGACACTACTGAGCTATTGAACTGAACTGATATAAAAAAAGTTACAACTCAATAATAAAAAGATAATAAAAATAATAAAAATCTTATAACAAATATAAAAAGAAATCTTACAACTCAATAATAAAAATTTAAAAATAGGCAAAGGGTTGCACAACATTGAAAATGTACTAAATGCTACTGAATTATATATTTTAAGATGATTAATAGTTCATTTTATTACATGTGAAGTTTAAAAAATAGGCCAAAATTTGAACAAACAATTCTCCAAAGAAGATAAAATAATGGCCAATATATATCTGGAAAGGTACTCAACATCATAAGTCATTAGGGAAATGCAAATTGAAACCACAATTAGGTACCATTTCATACTCTTTAGTATGCTATCATAATTTTTTTTTAAAGGAAAATAGTAAGTGTTAGCAATGATGTAGGGAAATTAGAATCCTTGTTTGGTGGGAATGTAGATTAGTGTAACCACTATAGGAAACAGCTTGGCAGTTCCTCAAAAGTAAAACATAGAGTTACTATATGACTGAGCAATCCCACTCCTACTAGAATAATCCCAAGAAAATTGAAAACACACACACACACTTATATATACATATATATAGGCATAGTGTACACAAGTGTTCATAACAACAATCATGATAGATAAAAAGTGGAAATAATTCAAATGTAATTGAAGAACGATAAACAAAATGTGGTATATCCATATAGTGGAATATTACTTGGCCATAAGAAGGAATGAATTGCTGATTTTGTTATACGAACCCTAAAAACATTATTCTAGGTGACAGAAGCCAGTCACAAAAGACCACATATGGCAAGGTTCCATTTATGTCCAAAATAGGCAAATCCATAGCGACAGCTAATAGACTAGTGGTTCCCAGAAAATGAGGGGAGGGGAAATGGGGAATAAATGCTAATGGGTTTGGGGTTTCTTTGGAGGGTGATGGAAATGTTCTGGATTTAGTTATCAGTATGGCACGATTTGATGAAAACTGGACATTTTCGGGGTTATGTGGCAACTTTGCCTAGAGGTCCAGTGGTTAGGAACTTGGTGCTTTCAACTACTGAGGGCCCAGGTTCAATCCCTGGTCAGGGAACTAATATCCCACAGGCTGTGCAGGGCAGCCAAACAAAAAAAGATTATATGGCAACTCTGGAAATCAGATCCACACCCCTGTAACCTCTGTTTGTTGTGATTTGATATTGTTTGCTTGGTTAGTGATTTTTCTCAACTTTTTTCGGTAAAGTCTGTATTTTCTGTTGTGTGTGGCTCACCCAAGTCTGTGTCTGTTAGCTTGGTGGTCAGTTTGTGTTTCAGTAGAGTTCCTTGAATGCCTAGAGCAAAAACAAAACAAGACAAAACTCTCCCAAGCTTTGCAGACTGGCTCGACTGGGCATTACTCCAAGGTTTACCAGTCTGTTTACAACTCTGTCTGAATTCTTGCTGCTTCTTCTCTGCCTGAAGGCTACCAGAGGTGAAGGCTTAGCATCTTCTCAAGTGTTTTATGGAGCACACATCCAGCCCTGAGTATGTGAATTGTCTTCTTGATTCCCCAGGATCCTTGGGAGCTTTTAAAAGCCCTTCCCGACTCACCTTGTCCCCCTATATCTTCTTTCCTGGCCTCTTTCTGCCCAATCTTTTCCTTCTGTCTATTGCTCATCCCAGTGATATCCCTTGCCCAGGCTGCTGCATCCAATACTTGTGCCTTTAAGTGCTTTTGACAAAAACATCCTGGAAGCTTCCCACCAACCCTGGAACCCCTCCAAGTCGGGCAAAACAAAGGCAAGCCTTTGTGCCAGGCAGGTCAGAATCCACAACCACAGTTTCTAAAAAATAAAGTCCTTATTGCTCCCTCAGTCCTCATAACAACCATAGTCTGTAGTTTAAGGGATAGTTGGCAGGTGATTTAAAATGCTGCAGTGTTCTCTGCCCATAAAGCAAATGCTTCTTTCTTCACCAGGCCTTCCTCTGCTTGTTATAAGTTTTAAACTAGACTCCAGAGTTCTATAAAAATTGATTCAGACAGTGTTTACGAGTTCATTCATGGTTTTTCTGGAGGAAGAGTTCCCTGGAGTTCTTTTATTCCACCGTTTTCAATGACATTACTTGTAACAACATTGTGAATATATTAAAAACAAAACACTTTGAAAAGATCAAAATGCTGACTTCTATGGTTTTTGAATTTTGTCTCAATAAAAAAGGTAGTGACAAGTTAAAGAAAGATATTCTGAGTTCATAGAATGGCCTTAAAAGACTTTTAGAGCCAGACATTAAGATGGGAAGACATTAAAACACCTTAACTGAGCAAAAAAGTGGGAAACCCCCAAACAGTAGAGTGATCTATACTCAGATCAAATGGAAGATCAAAACCACCCACTTGTAAACATCTGGAATAGAGTCACATCTTGAGTCCCAGCCCAAAACTGTTGGATCGTTAAGGGACCTTGGTCCACCAAGGAAGCTCATCGGTTAGCTGTTGCTGTATAACAGACAATCTAAGTAGCTAAAAACAACAGCCATTTCACTGCTCACAATTCTATGGGTCAAAATGGACAGGATCCAGAAGAACTGAAATCAAGATTTCAAAACGATATTGGTGCTCTGTTGTTGATTGCAGCACTATTGGCAGCAGTCACAATGTAGGAACAACTCAAATGTCCACTGATAAATGAAGAAAGAAAATGTGGTATATACTACAATGAAATGTGGAATGTTGTTTAGCTACTAAGTCGTGTCTTACTCTTTGCAACTCTGTGGACTGTAGCCCATCAGACTCCTCTGTCCTTGGTTTTTCTCAAGCAAGAATACTGGATTAGGTTGCCATTTCATCCTCCAGGGGATCTTCCCGACCTGGGGATCAAACCTGCATCTCCTGCATTGGCAGGCGGATTCTTTACTACTGAGCCACCAGGGAAGCCCACAGTAGAATATTACCCAGCCTTAAAAAAGAAGGAAATCCTGTAATATGCCACCACATGGGTTAACCTTGAGGACATTATGCAAAGTGAAATAAGTGCTAGACTGAATGTGCCTCTTGTCCTCCCACCCTAATTCATTTGTGGAAGTCCTAATTCCCAATGTGATGGTATTTGGAGATGGGGACTTTGGGGGACAATTATGAGAATGGGGCTTTCATAAATGAGATTAGTGTCATTGTAAGAGAGACAAGACAGAGTTCTCTTTCTCTACCATGTGAGGACATAGCAAGAAGGTATCCATCTGCAAGCCAGGAAAAGGGCTTTCACCAGAAACAGAATCAGCCAGCACCTTAATCCTGGACCTCTTAGCCTCCAGATCTATGGGAAATAATGGCCACTCAGTCTGTCATATTTGTTATGGCAGCCCAAATTGACTGAGGCAATGAGCCAGTTACAGAAAAACAGATACTGCATGAGTCTACTTGTATGGGGTATCTTAAATAGTCAAACTCATAGAATCAGGGGCTTTGCAGGTGCTAGTGGTAAAGAACCCACCTGCTAACACAGGAGACATAAGAGTTGGGGGTTCGATCCCTGGGAAGATCCCCTGGAGGAGGGAGTGGCAACCCACTCCAATATTCTTGCTTGGAGAATCCCATGGACAGAGGAGCCTGGCGGGTCACAATCCATGGGGTCGCAAAGAGTCGGACACAACTGAAGTGACTTAGCACACGCACACATTGGGGAGTGCATTTATAATATCTTAGGTAAAGGGCCAGGTTATAAAACAAATTATCATCTTATTTCTATAAAATATATTAACATTTATATTGACATCTAAATTTATGGACAGAAAGCTTTTTTTACAAAAACCAAAACATTTGCAGGAACCATCTATGATTTTTTTTTATCTTCTTGCATTATTGTTCTTTTCATTTATATTTCCTAATTATTCTATAGTGAATACCTATTTGGTTATTACTGTATAAAGTTTTTTTAAAAAAAATGTCATGCTAAGGAATCTGAACCTCATTCTTAAGGTGATGTAAATTAAATTTTTATAAATTAAATAATTAATTTTTATAATTAATAAATAATATAATTATTATAATTATTGTAAAAGTAATAATTATTAATTTTATAAATTAACTAATTAGTGTCCTCAGCAACTTTGCCAGTTAAAAGAGTCTCATTGAGACCCCTCTGGGAAGAGGAAGTCTCCATTAATTAGATGGCAAATGTATCCTGCCTGTGTTTTTCTTGTAAACTTTGACTTCTGTGCCAGACCATGCCAAGTCAATATAGTAAGGGACTGGGAGAGCAGATTTAGGGCCTTATCAGGCCCTTGGGGCCAGTGGGCAAAAGGTGGTGCTTTCTGGTAGTGTCCAGTTCCAGGCCATGTTGTCTAAACTAGCAAGGCAGCCAGATTAAACTCCGGCAGAAAAATTCCAGTAGAGGGTCTGGGGAGGCGTGGTTTTGTGATGAAGGTTTTTTTTCTGATTTTGTTTTGGAACAGCAAACTGTTGGGTTCAAACTGTTGAACAGTTTGTGTCCTGGGGCCCCTTGGCTCAGGCCCAGCTCATTCGTGTGAACCTTCCTTACAGGAAAACTTGATCGGCGCTCTCTTGGCAATTTTCGGGCACCTTGTGGTCAGCATTGCACTGAATCTCCAGGTATGTTCCCATCCCCCACGCTGCCTGGTGCAGAGAGGCAGCCAGAGCCGGGTTATCCGGTGTAGGCGTGTCTGCCTTCTCCCAGTGGGATGTCACCTACCCCATCCCAGGGCTGGGACAGTACCTGGTGGGTTGTTCCAGGATACTCTCTTGGTTCTGTGCCCCCACTTCATCCCCCGTCATGCCTCAACTATGAAGACAGTGCTCTCTGTTATTTAGAAGTCTCTGGGGGTGGTGGGGTGCCCTGGAGCCGCTGCTGTGGATGCCCTGCCTCACATGCCCTCGGCCTCGTTGAGATCCCAGGCAGCTGTGGCTTGGAGTGAGCTCAGAACACCGTGGGAACGAGCCCCACCGGCTGCAGGGGCAGCGAGACAACCAGCTGCGGTTGTTGGGTGCTGGTAGTGGTTGCTAGGGCCCCGGGGCAGCCTTCAACCAGTGGGGTGGGGAGTCAATGGATAAATACCCGCAGCCCCCTGTCCTTGCGGTGGATGGTTCTGAGGAGCGTTCACAGGGTTTCTTAGAGGGTCCTCAGTGGAACGGAGCCCCAGTTGCCTTAAGCACTAACTCACCCTCTAGTGCACCCTTCAATCACCTACTTCCCTAGCCTGTCTCGCTTTCCGCCTCCCTGATTTTGCTTCCTAGAATCACCTCCCAAATCTATGCCCTGCTTCCTAGCCCTTGTCTCAAGGACTGCTTCTGGGAAGCCCAGCCTAAGACTTGACAACTGAGACCTCACTGAGGGTCCCGTGGCTAAGACGCCATGCTCCCAATGCAGGGGGCCCAGGTTCAGTCCCTGGTCAGGGAACTAGACCCCACATGTTACAACTAAAGATTCCACATGCCACAACTTAAAAAGAAAGAAAGAAAAAAAAAGACTAGACACCTGCAAGCCGGACAAATACAGCACATTGACTAATCCTTTTCCCTTCACGCTGCCCCCAGCTTCAGCGAGCAGGCTGCTCTGCCTCTCTAGAGCGGGCACATAAACACTTTGCTCCCACGTGTGCACACGTGTGTGTTTCTGAGGCTGCGTGGTCTCTTGGCTCCTTGTCTGGCTCCCCCTCCTCCCTCTGCAGACCAGCTCCTCTGCTTCCCTATCTGCTTCTACACAGCGCCGCACCATGATCCAACCCACGTGGCAGACTTGACCCTCTGAGTCAGCATGCCTTTTGGGCTTTCCTTAGTCACTGCCTCAGGGTCTGTGTCCCGAGTTCACATTTCCAGAACCAGGAATACTGTCCCTGCTTGGGCCAAGTGTCCACCTATGGGAGGGGAAGATCCACTAACACTCACAAATCTGCCCGGCAGAGCTGCCGGCATTTCTCCAGAAAGGAGTGTATCCAGGTGGGCACCCTGAACACGGGGACTCCTGAGCCTTGCAGTTAGAGGGTCAACCGGAGGGCCGGGCTAAAGTGGGGGTCCTTAGGTCATGGTTCTCGCCCCAGACTGCCCATAGCCTGTGATGTGCATCAGAAATGCACATTTCCAGGCCTTGCCCACACCTCCCCTCTGAGAATGAAGCCCAGGCATGTGTATTTTTCAAAGCTTCCCAGAGAATGTAAAGCCTCGCAGCCAGTTTGAGAGCTCTTGTCTCAGAAGAGCAATCTAAGATTTAGAACGTCAGTGTTGAAAACAAAGGGACTGAGAAAGTCCAGAGAAGAGCCGGCCCATCCCCGCTGGAGGTAGGAGGCAGGGGGGAGGGGAAAAGGGCAAACTCAGCCCCTGAGAAGCCGCCCCCTCCCACACTGCAAACAGGCCCCCGGTTCCCATCTAAAGACTTCCTGAGACCCGACTGGCGGCGCGCGCTGGGGCCGCGGAGGGAAAAAGCGCGCCGTACCCGGGGAGAGTGCGCCCAAGCCCCTGGCTGCCTGAGCCGCTCGCCGCAGAGGGGAAAGGCGCGCCGCATCCGGGGAAAGTGCGCCCAAGCCTCTGGCTGCCTGGGCCGCTCGACGCGGAGGGAAAAGGCGTGCCACACCCAGGGAGAGTGCGCCCAAGCCTCTGGCTGCCTGGGCCGCTCGCCGCGGAGGGAAAAGGCGCGCCGCATCCGGGGAGAGTGCGCCCAAGCCTCTGGCTGCCTGGGCCGCTCGCCGCGGAGGGAAAAGGCGCGCTGCATCCGGGGAGAGTGCGCCCAAGCCTCTGGCTGCCTGGGCCGCTCGACGCGGAGGGAAAAGGCGCGCCGCATCCGGGGAGAGTGCGCCCAAGCCTCTGGCTGCCTGGGCCGCTCGCCGCGGAGGGAAAAGGCGCGCCGTACCTGGGGAGAGTGCGCCCAAGCCTCTGGCTGCCTGAGCCGCTCGACACGGAGAGAAAAGGCGTGCCACACCCAGGGAGAGTGCGCCCAAGCCCCTGGCTGCCTGAACCGCTCAGGCCGGGGAAGGCACAAAACGCAGGCGCAACCGAATCCGCGCTTTTGTGGAGTACCCGAAAACTGGAACCGCACTCAACGCAGGGCCCGCTCCATATAGAGCAGCCGGGAGCCTGAGCAGTGTAGACGGCAAAAGCACTGACACCCGTGAGCGGGGCAAACCCAGTGTGACCGGAACACGGTGAGTGCTATCCACACAGAGCGGTGTCTGTCTGCAGCGCCCCGCCCTCCCCGTAGCAGGACTGAACTGAACTAGAGAACCTAAATAAGAGATCACCTCCGCCCGCCTGTGTCAGGGCGGAAATTAGACACCAAAGAGACGGCAAACAGAAGCCAAATAAACAAAGGGAACCGCTTCAGAAAGGACCGGTGCAACAGATTAAAATCCCTGAAGGTAACACCGACTACACCAGAAGGGGCCTACAGATATCGAGAAGTGTAAGCTGGAAAGAGGAGCTATCTGAAATTGAACTGAACCTACACTGACCGCAACAACTCCAGAGAAATTCCTAGATATATATTTTTTTTTTAATAGAAAAAAAATTTTTTTTCTTTCCTTTTTTTAAAATTTTTTATTTTTTATCTTTTATTTTCTTTTAAAATTCCCTATTACTCCCCCATTACTCCTCAACTTTCATTTTCATATATTTTTACGATTTTCTTAATTAGGGAAAAAATTTTTTTTTCTTTTTTTTCTTTTTCTTGTTTTTCTTCTATTTTAAAGTCCTCTAATACTCCTCTATTATTCCTTAATTTTCATTTTCACTTCACTATAACCTTGCCACAAAAAAAAAAGAGAGAGAGAGAAACCCTATTTTTAAATCAAACTTCATATACATTTCTAAATTTTTTTTGTGTGTTTTTGTTTTTAAATATTGTATTTCAAAGAGTCTAACCTCTACACTAGATTTTTAATCTTTGTTTTTCAGTAGTATGTGATATAAATTTTGGTCATTTAAGAATCCAATATTCAGTTCCCATTTCTATTCAGGGGTGTGGTGATTACTCTCCCACTTTTGACTCTCTGTTTTCTACCTCAGAACACCTCTATTTCCTCCTTTCCCCTTCTCTTCCCAATCCAACTCTGAATCTTTGTGGGTGTCTGGGCTACGGAGAACACTTTGGGAACAGATAACTGCGTAGATCTGTCTCTCTCCTCTTGAGTCCCCTTTTTCTCCTCCTGATCACCTCTATCTCCTTCCTCCCTCTCCTATTCTTCATGTAACTCTGTGAACCTCTCTGGTTGTCTCTCACGGTGGAGAATCTTTTCACCATTAACCTAGAAGTTTTATTATCAGTGCTGTATAGTTGGAGACGTCTTGAGACTATTGGAAGAATAAAACTGAAATCCAGAGGCAGGAGACTTAAGCCCAAATCCTGAGAAAACCAGAAAACCCCTGACTACACGGAACATTAAGGAATAAGAGACCATCCAAAAGCTTCCATACCTACATCAAAACCAACCACCACCCAAGAGCCAATAAGCTCCAGTACAAGACATACCACGCAAATTCTTTAGCAACGCAGGAACATAGACCTGAGTGTCAACATACAGGCTGTCCAAAGTCACACCTAACACATAGACCCATCGCAAAACTCATTACTGGACACTCCATTGCACTCCAGAGAGAAGAAATCCAATTCCACGCACTAGAACACTGACACAAGCTTCCCTAACCAGGAAACCTTGACAAACCAATCGTCCAACCCCACCCACTGGGTGAAACCTCCACAATAAAAAGGAACCTCAGACCACAAGAATACAGAAAGCCCACTCCAGACACAGCAATCTAAACAAGATGAAAAGGCAGAGAAATACCCAACAGCTAAAGGAACATGAAAAAAGCCCACCAAGTCAAACAAAAGAGGAGGAAATAGGGAATCTACCTGAAAAAGAATTTAGAATAATGATAATAAAAATGATCCAAAATCTTGAAAACAAAATGGAGTTACAAATAAATAGCCTGGAGACAAAGATTGAGAAGTTGCAAGAAATGTTTAACAAGGACCTAGAAGAAATAAAAAAAAGTCAATTAAAAATTAATAATGAAATAAATGAGATCAAAAACACTCTGGAGGGAACCATGAGTAGAATAACAGAGACAGAAGATAGGATAAGTGAGTGAGAAGATAAAATGGTGGAAATAAATGAAGCAGAGAGGAAAAAAGAAAAAAGAATCAAAAGAAATGAGGACAAACTCAGGGACCTCTGGGACAATGTGAAACGCCCCAACATTCGAATCATAGGAGTCCCAGAAGAAGAAGACAAAAAGAAGGGCCATGAGAAGATACTCGAGGAGATAATAGCTGAAAACTTCCCTAAAATGGGGAAGGAAATAGCCACCCAAGTCCAAGAAACCCAGAAAGTCCCAAACAGGATAAACCCAAGGCGAAACACCCCAAGACACATATTAATCAAATTAACAAAGATCAAACACAAAGAACAAATATTAAAAGCAGCAAGGGAGAAACAACAAATAACACACAAAGGGATTCCCATAAGGATAACAGCTGATCTATCAATAGAAACCCTTCAGGCCAGAAGGGAATGGCAGGACATACTTAGAGTAATGAAAGAGAATAACCTACAACCTAGATTACTCTACCCAGCAAGGATCTCATTCAGATATGAAGGAGAACTCAAAATCTTTACAGACAAGCAAAAGCTGAGAGAATTCAGCACCACCAAACCAGCTCTTCAACAAATACTAAAGGATCTTCTCTAGACAGGAAACACAGAAAGGTGGTATAAACGTGAACCCCAAACAACAAAATTAATGGCAATGGGACCATACCTATCAATAATTACCTTAAATGTAAATGGGTTGAATGCCCCAACCAAAAGACAAAGGCTGGCTGAATGGATACAAAAGCAAGACCCCTATATATGCTGTCTACAAGAGACACACCTCAAAGCAAGGGACACATACAGACTAAAAGTGAAGGGCTGGAAAAAAATATTCCACGCAAACGGAGACCAAAAGAAAGCAGGAGTCGCAATACTCATATCAGATAAAATAGACTTTCAAATAAAGGGTGTGAAAAGAGACAAAGATGGACACTACATAATGATCAAAGGATCAATCCAAGAAGATGATATAACAATTATATATGCACCCAACATAGGAGCACCGCAATATGTAAGGCAAACGCTAACGAGTATGAAAGAGGAAATTAATAGTAATGCAATAATAGTAGGAGACTTTAATACCCCACTCACAACTATGGATAGATCAACTAAACAGAAAATGAACAAGGAAGCACAAACTTTAAAGGACACAATGGACCAGCTAGACCTAATTGACATCTATAGGACGTTTCACCCCCAAACAATCAACTTCACCTTTTTCTCAAGTGCACACGGAACCTTCTCCAGAATAGATCACATCCTGGGCCATAAATCTAGTCTTGGTAAATTCAAAAAGATTGAAATCATTCCAGTCATCTTTTCTGACCACAGTGCAGTAAGATTAGATCTCAATTATAGGAAAAAAATTATTAAAAATTCAAACATATGGAGGCTAAACAACACACTTCTGAATAACCAACAAATCATAGAAGAAATCAAAAAAGAAATCAAAATATGCATAGAAATGAATGAAAATGAAAACACAACAACCCAAAACCTATGGGACACTGTAAAAGCAGTGCTAAGGGGAAGATTCATAGCATTACAGGCCTACCTCAAGAAACAAGAAAAAAGTCAAATAAATAACCTAACTCTACACCTAAAGCAACTAGAGGAGGAAGAAATGAAGAACCCCAGGGTTAGTAGAAGGAAAGAAATCTTAAAAATTAGGGCAGAAATAAATGCAAAAGAAACTAAAGAGGTCATAGCAAAAATTAACAAAGCTAAAAGCTGGTTTTTTGAAAAAATAAACAAAATTGACAAACCATTAGCAAGACTCATTAAGAAACAAAGGGAGAAGAACCAAATTAACAAAATTAGAAATGAAAATGGAGAGATCACAACAGACAACACTGAAATACAAAGGATCATAAGAGACTACTACCAGCAGCTCTATGCCAATAAAATGGACAACTTGGAAGAAATGGACAAGTTCTTAGAGAAGTATAACTTTCCAAAACTGAACCAGGAAGAAATAGAAGATCTTAACAAACCCATCACAAGCAAGGAAATCGAAACTGTAATCAGAAATCTTCCAGCAAACAAAAGCCCAGGACCAGATGGCTTCACAGCTGAATTCTACCAAAATTTAGAGAAGAGCTAACACCTCTCTTACTCAAACTCTTCCAGAAAATTGCAGAAGGTAAACTTCCAAACTCATTCTATGAGGCCACCATCACCCTAATTCCAAAACCAGACAAAGATGCCACAAAAAAAGAAAACTACAGGCCAATATCACTGATGAACATAGATGCAAAAATCCTTAACAAAATTCTAGCAAACAGAATCCAACAACATATTAAAAAAATCATACATCATGACCAAGTGGGCTTTATCCCAGGAATGCAAGGATTCTTTAATATCCGCAAATCAATCAATGTAATACACCACATTAACAAATTGAAAGATAAAAACCATATGATTATCTCAATAGATGCAGAAAAAGCCTTTGACAAAATTCAACATCCATTTATGATTAAAACTCTCCAGAAAGCAGGAATAGAAGGAACATACCTCAACATAATAAAAGCTATATATGACAAACCCACAGCAAGCATCACCCTCAATGGTGAAAAATTGAAAGCATTTCCCCTGAAATCAGGAACAAGACAAGGGTGCCCACTCTCACCACTACTATTCAACATAGTTTTGGAAGTGTTGGCCACAGCAATCAGGGCAGAAAAAGAAGTAAAAGGAATCCAGATAGGAAAAGAAGTGAAACTCTCGCTGTTTGCAGATGACATGATCCTCTACATAGAAAACCCTAAAGACTCTACCAGAAAATTACTACAGCTAATCAATGAATATAGTGAAGTTGCAGGATATAAAATTAACACACAGAAATCTCTTGCATTCCTATACATTAACAATGAGAAAACAGAAAGAGAAATTAAGGAAACAATACCATTCACCATTGCAACAAAAAGAATAAAATACTTAGGAGTATATCTACCTAAAGAAACAAAAGACCTATACATAGAAAACTATAAAACACTGATGAAAGAAATCAAAGAGGACACAAACAGATGGAGAAATATACCGTGTTCATGGATTGGAAGAATCAATATTGTCAAAATGGCTATACTACCCAAAGCAATCTATAGATTAAATGCAATCCCTATCAAACTACCAACGGTATTTTTCACAGAACTAGAACAAATAATTTCACAATTTGTATGGAAATACAAAAAACCTCGAATAGCCAAAGTAATCCTGAGAAAGAAGAATGGAACTGGAGGAATCAATCTGCCTGACTTCAGACTATACTACAAAGCCACAGTCATCAAGACAGTATGGTACTGGCACAAAGACAGAAATATAGATCAATGGAACAGAATAGAAAGCCCAGAGATAAATCCACGAACCTATGGTCACCTTATCTTCGATAAAGGAGGCAAGGATATACAATGGAAAAAAGACAACCTCTTTAACAAGTGGTGCTGGGAAAACTGGTCAACCACCTGTAAAAGAATGAAACTAGAACACTTTCTAACACCATACACAAAAATAAACTCAAAATGGATTAAAGATCTAAATGTAAGACCAGAAACTAAAACTCCTAGAGGAGAACATAGGCAAAACACTCTCCGACATAAATCACAGCAGGATCCTCTATGACCCACATCCCAGAATTTTAGAAACAAAAGCAAAAATAAACAAATGGGACCTAATGAAACTTAAAAGCTTTTGCACAACAAAGGAAACTATAAGCAAGGTGAAAAGACAGCCCTCAGATTGGGAGAAAATAATAGCAAACGAAGCAACAGACAAAGGATTAATCTCAAAAATATACAAGCAACTCCTCCAGCTCAACTCCAGAAAAATAAATGACCCAATCAAAAAATGGGCCAAAGAACTAAACAGACATTTCTCCAAGGAAGACATACAGATGGCTAACAAACACATGAAAAGATGCTCAACATCACTCATTATCAGAGAAATGCAAATCAAAACCACAATGAGGTACCATTACACACCAGTCAGGATGGCTGCTATCCAAAAATCTACAAGCAATAAATGCTGGAGAGGGTGTGGAGAAAAGGGAACCCTCTTACACTGTTGGTGGGAATGCAAATTAGTACAGCCACTATGGAAAACAGTGTGGAGATTTCTTAAAAAGCTGGAAATAGAACTGCCATATGACCCAGCAATCCCACTTCTGGGCATACACACCGAGGAAACCAGATCTGAAAGAGACACGTGCACCCCAATGTTCATCGCAGCACTGTTTATCATAGCCAGGACATGGAAGCAACCTAGATGCCCACCAGCAGACGAATGGATGAGGAAGCTGTGGTACATATACACCATGGAATATTACTCAGCCATTAAAAAGAATTCATTTGAATCAATTCTAATGAGATGGATGAAACTGGAGCCCATTATACAGAGCGAAGTAAGCCAGAAAGATAAAGACCATTACAGTATACTAACACATATATATGGAATTTAGAAAGATGGTAACGATAACCCTATATGCAAAACAGAAAAAAGAGACTCAGATGTATAGAACAGACTTGTGGACTCTGGGAGAAGGTGAGGGTGGGATGTTTCAAGAGAACAGAATCGAAACATGTATATTATCTAGGGTGAAACAGATCACCAGCCCAGGTTGGATGCATGAGACAAGTGCTCGGGGCTGGTGCACTGGGAAGACCCAGAGAGATCGGGTGGAGAGGGAGGTGGGAGGGGGGACCGGGATGGGGAATACATGTAAATCCATGGCTAATTCATTTCAATGTATGACAAAAACCACTGCAATGATGTAGAGTAATTAGCCTCCAACTAATAAAAATAAATGAAAAAAAAAAAAAAAAGAACGTCAGTGTTTACTCTTCTCTGAGGGAGGACTCAGAAAAATCTGACAGTCTCCCCCAAGTTATTTTTAAGAGTGGTGAGGGGGTGGGGAGTGGATTTAGTGTTCATTTGCTGTAGCACCTTTTCCCCAGAGACCTGGACGAATCATATTCTTTCTTGGACTTCTAGAAGTACTGCCACATCCGCCTTGCAGGCTCCAAGGACCCTCGGGCCTATTTCAAGACCAAGACATGGTGGCTGGGCCTGTTTCTGATGCTTCTGGGCGAGCTGGGCGTGTTTGCCTCCTACGCCTTTGCTCCCCTCTCTCTGATCGTGCCCCTCAGCGCTGTCTCTGTGATAGGTAAGACCCAGCTCCCGCCCCACGCCTCCCCTGGGACTTGCCCACCTCTGTGATGGGTGTCATTGCCAGGATCAAAGAGATTTGTTCAACAAGCCAGCTCTTGCTTTGCTAATAAAACCTAACACTTACCGAGGGCTTCGTCTAAGCACTGTACAGATACTGATTCTCCTGGCAGCCTTTTGAGGGAAACACTGTTATTATTCTCATTTTACAGATGAGGCACAGGGTGGTGAAGCTACTTTTCCCAAATCACACAGCTAGTAAGGAGCAGGGCTGGGATGCACACCAGGCTATTTGCCTCCCGAATCTGTTTAAGATTCAGAATGTTTATCAGAATTGCTTTTTGTTTCTACTGCAAAAGGAAGATTAACCTTGACCCATTCATCCTAACACCATGAAAATAAACTAAGCTTTCATAGAATTCAGATATCCCACACCATCTGAGTCAGCAGAGAAGCCCCTGTAAGAAATGCACATTCAGCTTATTCACTGATCTTTTTACATCAACTGATACCATTTTAAAAACATCATCAACTTTCTCATCTGCCATTTTTTCTGTAATGTCTATAATCACTGAACCAGTGTTTCAGACATTTTAACCATCTAGAAGACAAAGGAGTTTTGATGTTCATGAGGTCATAAATAAAATAGAATTAGAAAAAAATTCTTTTTTTTCTTAAATAAAAGATGTCAGTAGCTTAGTGGACCATAGTTTTTTGTATGTAGGAGCAAGCACAGTGAACTTGCTTTGAAATATTTCCTTTCATCTTGCTGGCAAGGATTGCAGTGCTGAGAAGCTGTTCCCTGCTCTTAAAGGAGAAAATCATATTTTGAGTCTTAATCCTCCTGGAATTAAGAGGCCCTCTTCAGAGGGCCAGCAGGGATGGCCTATGACTGGCAATTATGGCCCCTGTTGTACCCAAGGCAGACATCACTAATCAACCATAGCCTTCCTTCCTAGTGAGCCTGGATGGGTCCTCAGAACCCTCAGGGCTTCAGGCAGTCATTACCAATTACCAGGAGTTGGCAAAGGAGTGGAAACTTATTTCCTTTCCCTCATCCTATTTATTGAAAGCCCCACTTTCTTGACCAAGGTGGGTAAACAGGCAGCCTACAAGATGACCAAGATCTTCAGGCATGCCATGGTCTTACCCACACAATATTGTTTCAGAATATCATTTGAGTGCCTTTCGTTGAGGCAAGTTGTCTGCCATAGTCTTGACTTCTCCGTACTGTCTTACAACTGGCCCATGTTGCACACCTGTGTTGTTGCTCAGTCCCAACAGGGTTTTAATCGATTTGTCCTCTGCCCATTGCTGATCTGTCCAAAGGGCTCTCAGAACCTTTATTCACAAAGAGGAATATGTGACTGAATGACAGGTGCTTTAAATATTAGCCTTTAAAGTTTGATAAGGATCAAATAACCAAATTCTTAAAAACAGACTGAATAATGATGGAACTTCAGGGATCAGCCCCCTCGAAATTACGGGGCTCTTAGAGCTTCTTAGTCACCCAGCAAAAAATAACATTAAAAACAATAACTATTAAAATAATAACCACCATTCATTGGGTACCTATTACATATTAGTCACTGTTCCAGATGCTTTAATAATAATAAAAGCTCAATTATTGATCACAAACTGTGTGATAAATAATTTGCATGTGTTATCTCATTTAATTGCCCCTATAACTCTGTGTTCTGAGTCACTTAGTTGTAACCAGCTCTTTTGCAACCCCATGGGCTATAGCTCGCCAGGCTCCTGTGTCCATGGAACTTTCCAGGCAAGAATACTGGAGTGGGTTGCTATTTCCTTCTCCAGGGAGAAGTAGATATTTTCAGTGATGTGCTGATAAGCAAACTTGAGAGAGAAAAGGAAAGAAGAGAGAAGGTGGAAGGAGGTAGGGAAGGGACAGAAAAATGAGAAAGAAAAGGAAGATCTGATTTGTAGTGTTTCTGGCATAAATATAGGATGTAAATACTCCCATTGTGGCTGATTCCGAGCTACTAATGGTTTCCTGACTATTAATGTCCGGCCCACTGGTGCAGGCCGGATCCAGTGCATGGTTTCAGTGACTAGGGAATGAATTCTCAGAAGTGACCAACCCAGGAAATGCAGCCAGAAGTAGCAGAGCTGAGACAGTAATCCAGGGCTATTCACAATCAACGCCAGCCTCCTCTTTTAGGACAGTCATAAGGGAGTTAGAATACATCTGCAAGCTTGGAAGAGTCAGGAAGAGAAAAGAACCGGGGGGCATCAGAGGTGGACATCGCCACGGAGGAGCGGGAGCCCTGGCCCCCAGCAGCCCTAGGTTTGAGCCTTTCCTTGCCAGCTGCATGGTCTTGAGGGATCCCTTCCCTCTCTCAGCCTCCGTGCCCCCATTTTTCACATGGAGTCATAATCGCGCCCACCCCAAAGAGTGAACGTGCCAGAAAGAACTTGTGTGAGTTGCCGGTCACACAGCAGATAGTCAACCCCCGGTGCTCCTGGCCTTGTAGGAAATCCTCAGGGAGACTCAGAGAGGAGCCTCTGTTTTGAAGATGGACATTACAAGGGACTGAGCTCTTGGGAGCAGGAGTGAGAGCTTAGGAAGTACCCAGCTCCAGTGCAAATGAGCCAACCCAGAGGGCGTGGGCGAAGGGACTCGCATTTGACTGCCGGTAGCTTCAGTTTTCTTCTTCCTCTGCTGTTCTTTCCTTACAGCCAGCGCCATCATAGGAATCATATTCATCAAAGAAAAATGGAAACCGAAAGACTTCCTGAGTAAGTTCGTTGGTTTGAGCCCGTGTTTGTAGTTTTATTCTTGTGCCTTTTTTTTGTTTGTTTTTTTCATTATAAAACTAGCTCCTCCTAATCTAGAGATCATCTGTCTCCTTCTCCTCTGTGTGGTTCTATATCCCACCCTCAGCAGGCTACTGAGGGCTGGATTTTTAATCAGTGGTTCCCAAACCTGGCTATCCATCAGAACCACCTGTGAGACTTTTTAAAATGGGCTTTCATTCATTGCATATAATCAGTATTTATTGAACATCTATTGTTGGGATTTTAGTAGGCCCAATAAAAGGCGCCCTCTTTCCCTGAGTTTTAAAGCAATGGGAACTAAACAAGGAAGCCAAACATGGGAGGTCAGAAGTTATGCTTTGTTACTAACAAAAGTTAGATTGGAACATGCAGCCACACGAACTTGTTTACATGCTCCTCCAGTGTACCCCAGCCCCCAGCTAGACCTTGGGCTAGTCTCCCAAGGAAATATTTAGGTTTACAGAATGGAACACTTATCCAGAATTACTGCTGTACATGCCCTGTGGCAGAGAAGGGAGAAAAAAGAACAAAACCCGAGTGTTTAAATTCTTTTCATAGATTATCTCCATTCAATTGAGAAATGTGGACCAATGAATGGGGCAAGAGGCAGAAGTGTGGGTCCACTGGAGGCTCCTCCACATAGAAACCCAAGGGGTGGGGAAGAAGTTACCTACTAAGTTCCACCCTCTGCCGTGGGTGCTGAGGATATAGCAGTAGGACAGATGGAGGTTATTGTCTAATGTATATATTATGTATATGTGTGTATGTGCAGACATGCTGAGTCGCTTCAGTTGTGTCTGACTCTTGGACCCTATGGACTGTAGCCCGCCAGGCTCCTCAGTCCATGGGATTCTCCAAGCAAGAATACTGGAGTGAGTTGCCATGCCCTTCTCCAGGGGATCTTCCCAGCCCAGGGATCAAACCTAAGGCTCCTGCATTGCAAGCAGTTCTTTACCGCTGAGTCACTGGAGGAGCCCTATATATATGTATACATCTGTATACATGTTTATATGTAATAAACAAGTGAACTATATGACTAAATCAACAAGATAATTCTAGATCTTAGCGAGTGCTTCAGAGAAAACAATGTTTTATGGTGGGGCACTGGGAACATGGGGATGCTTTTCCTAGATTGATCAGGGATAGACTCTCTGAAGAGGTGGGGCCCAGATCCAAGTAATACTGAGGAGACTACCATTGCAAAGGTCTGTGGGCAAAGTGTTCTATGCAGAGGAAGCAGCAGGTACAAAGGCCCTGAGGCAGGAATAAGTTTGGTGTATCTGGTATCAGTAAGGCTAGCATAGTTGTAAGGTGATGAGTACAGGAGGAAGGAGGACATGAGCACAAGGAGGCATGAGGCATCCATACTGGATGATGTAGGACCTTACAAGCCACGCTAAGAAGTGACATGGTGGATCCAGGCTGTATTCCCAGAGACTTTGAATCTGGGCTGAGGGCCCTGGGCATTTGCGTTCTTACAAAGCTCCCCAGGATGAAGTATATTTGTCTGCAACTTGCTTTGAAATATATCCAAAAATAACCTGGCTTGAAGAATGAGTGGAGGGATGAAGAAAATGGATCGATAGCCAATAAAGCAAGTATAAGAAAATGTCAATTTAGAATCTTGGTGTGGGACTATGGGTGCTTGCTATACAACTCCTTCAACTTTTCTGTGTGTCTGAAAGTTTCTGAATACAAAACGTTAGGGAAAAGAAGCTCGCAAGATGCCGAAGACACACAGCCAGGTTTGGGAACCACTGTTTTGAATCACTGGTGAAGAGTAAGAGCAAGATGGGAGCAGGAGGTAGAAAAAGAAAAGAATCTTACACTGGAAAAAGCAGAACTACTATTCAGCAAGTCTAGTCAAGGCTATGGTTTTTCCAGTAGTCATGTATGGATGTGAGAGTTGGACTATAAAGAAAGCTGAGCACAGAAGAATTGATGCTTTTGAACTGTGATGTTGGAGAAGACTCTTGAGAGTCCCTTGGACTGCAAGGAGATCCAACCAGTCCATCCTAAAGGAAATCAGTCATGAATATTTATTGGAAGGACTGATGCTGAAGCTGAAACTCCAGTACTTTGGCCAACTGATGGGAAGAACTGACTCATTAGAAAAGACCCTGATGCTGGGAATGATTGAAGGTGGGAGGAGAAGGGGACGACAGAGGATGAGATGGTTGGATGGTATCACCGACTCAATGGACATGAGTTTGAGTAAACTCCGGGAGTTGGTGATGGACAGGGAGGCCTGGCGTGCTGCAGTCCATGGGATCTCAAAGAGTTGGACATGACTGAGCGACTGAACTGAACTGAACTGTTCAGCAAATAAACCATGCCTCAAAGACTCAGAATGATTTGTAGTAATTCTGCAAAGGAGAGGGGTGGGGCTGGGCTGATTCAGAGACCAGTGTAGAGGTGTATGTCCCTTCCAGGGTCATTCTAGGTGGTCCTGGAATGAGCGGCACACCCTATGTGAGTTGGAAAAAGATGCCCCTCTGGCCATCTGTAGTTCTGCGGGCACCTGCCTTGGTGAGCAGAGCTTGGGCTAGATTTTAGCCCTCCTCACTGCCCCTGTGCAATGAGTAACCTGCACAATCGTGCTTGGCCGCCCGGCTTAAAGTCCCATTAAATTCAGCATTCACTCACCCAGTGCTAGTCCTTTGCTGGACAATGCAGGCATGTTGATGAGTAAGACCTGTCCCTACCTGCAGAGAACTTAAAGAAATAGGCTTGCACAGAACTTGCCCTGTTGAGTTTAACCAGGTTCCTTCATTTGCTGAGCAATTTAACAGCTAGTTTTTTTTTTTAAACATTTTGAAGCCTAGGATGAAAATAAAGGACATTTAATGTGGTATCACGTTTCCTAGAAATGGTAGAATGGAGCTGGTATAGTTAATTCTATCACAGGAAAATCCAGAGTCCTGCAGTCACCAGATGTGCAGCTCAGAAGTCATAGCCCTTTTCAGCTTGCCTGAGGCTGGGCTCCCTCAACCTCAGAAGCTTTTCAGCAACCCCACAGGGTTCAACTGGAGTGTGCCAGGACCCTGGGGAAGAGTCAGGAGACCCTGGACCTTCACCCAGGAACATGCCTCCTGGGCCACCAACAATCTCTGACAAGTCTGTGGAGTAGTGTTGATAGTATTTAGATAGTTCCCTTGGGAGTAGTTTAAATAGCCAACTGGGAGAGGATTAGACAGTTTTTTTAAATTGTCTGTGTTCACGCAAGATTATGTTTGTGAGATTCTTATGTTTCTTGGCCTGTGGTGGTACTTCCTTCAGTCTCACTGCTATATGTTGGTCTACATGTGAATAGGACACAGTTTATCATTTCTACTGTTGACGGGCATTTAAGTAGTCTCCAGTCTTGGATTATAACAAATCATGTTGCCATGAAGTGTCCTGTGCCTGTCATTTGGAAAACAGAGGGTCTGAAGGTTTGCTTTTGAGGGTTATATATATATATATATATAAATCTCGCCTATCTAGCTTTAGTATGTTCCTTGTAAAATGCAGGTTAAATCAGAGCACAATACCAAAACAGCTAAAATGAAGAAGAAAAAAATATGCAGTTTTACTCATACTCTACTGGTGGGAGTGGAAGTTGGGGTACAGCTACTTTGGAAAAGCATATGACAGTAACTACTAAACTGAACATCTGCATGTCCTGTGACCCAGGAATTCCACTCTTAGTTTTATACCCAACAGAAGTACATGCATTTGTTTTCCAAATGACATGCACAGGAACATTCATGGCAACATGATTTGTTATAACCCAAGACTGGAGACTACTTACATGCCCATCCACAGGAGAAATGGTAAATTGTGTCCTGTTCACACGTAGATCGCCATACAGCAGTGAGAATGAAGGAAGTATCACCACAGGCCAAGATACAGAAGACTCTCACAAACATAAACTTGCGTGAACACAGACGCTAGAAAACAGTGTATGATTCCATCAGTATAAGGTACAAACCCAGGCAAACAGTCAATGCTGCTAGAAGTCAAAGTGTTACCCTGGGGGTGGAGTCTACTGATGGGAAGGGGACACAAGTGAGGGTTTGGGGGTCCTGCTAATGTTCCCTTTCTCTACCTGGATGCTGGTAACATGGGTGAGTTCACTTTGTAAAAATTCATTAAGCACTTTTCTGTTATGCATGCTATACCTCATTAAAATTTTTTTTTAATGTTAAATGTTATTTTTTTAAATGACATTCAGGGAAATATTCTTTTTTTTTTTAAAGTAAAGAAAAAGCGAAAATTCAAACAACAGCAGGTCCTCAGGTGTTGCCCCAGAGGCACATGCTGGCCTGGCCAATGCCTGCAGTGAGCCATGTGACACTTCCTTCTCCCCGCAGGGCGCTACATCTTATCCTTCGTTGGCTGCGGTCTGGCCATCGTGGGTACCTACTTGCTGGTGACATTCGCACCCAACAGTCATGAGAAGATGACAGGCGATAACATCATCAGGCACCTCGTGAGCTGGCCTTTTCTCCTGTACATGGTATGAGAAATTCTGGTCCTTCCACCTGGGATGGTGGGTGTGGGGATGGAGTCCTAGAAACCGAAAATCTGAATTCCCAGCAAGACGGTTCACGGGAATCATGATGTATCTCACAGCACTGAACACCAGGCTCACAGGAATATGTAGTTCCCAGGGAAGTATTTTTTCCCCCCACTGTATCCTGAGTAAAGTCTAAAACTACATGTATAATATGACAACTTGATTTTTTAGAGGTATTTGTAGGTCTGTACATTATCTGTAAAAGACTGGACAGAAAACAGAAACTCCATCAGTAGCCATCTCTGGGAGATGGAATTATGCTTTATGTTTTTATTTTGTTTTTGTCTTTACATATCACTGCATCGAGCATTTAAAACAGTTATGGTAAGAAAAAAAGTTAAAATTGTAAGCAGTTATTTGTTTTTGCCCAGTATCACACAGCTGATAGACGCTGATAGAAAGATGAGAGACAATGGGAAATTTATTTCCTAAACCCCCAACCGGAGTTCAGTCCTCTGCTCCGATTACATCCTGGTTGGGTCTACGAGTTGACTAATCAAGGAAAACATCGAAGGTATTTGATAAAGCTACTGGTATGTTCCTGCTCCATGCATGGCACCTTGTTAAATGCTTTTTAATATATTATCTGTCACCAAAAATAATCAATAAACCAAGAGTTTTATATGAGCCAAACTATGGACTGTAGCCCAGGATTCAGCCTCTCAGATAACTCTTAGGACCTGCTCTGGAGAAGCCTGGTTTTCAGCACAATTTTCTATCTTGTCAGGGCAGAGAGCATTAAACAAGTCAAAGATATGTTCTTTCAAGTTAAAAAAACAGATCAGTGTGTACACAGCAAGTCAGTTTGTCCTTGGTACCTGGGGAGGGAATCTTAACATCGAAGGGGTAGCAGAAAGGAAGGCATTTAATTTTAACATAAACCTTCTTTACTTCTGGCCAATGTTCCCTTTTCTTTCATAATTAAAGCAGACATACAATGTAACAAGCTGTTTTAGTTAGCATAAAATTTGCGTTTAACTGTGTATAAACCAGAATGACTTCCCCAGACCTCAGGATGTGAAAATTTGTTTCTTCACCTGTCAGATTCCCTCAACAGTCCTGTAACACAGGTGTTTTTCTCCCCATTTTATGGACTAGAGAACTGGATCTCAGGGTTAGTGAGGTTGCTCAGAGTCCCCCGAGGGCAGAGCTGGACCCGAAGCCTGCCTGCCTGCCTGGCCTCACATGTCACCACAGCCTGCTGACCGAGGCGTTCACTGTTTGGTCTTGACTCGGCCGCCTGGGCCTACTGCAGAGGCCCCGAACATCCTTTCCCCTCGGATTTCCCACAAATCAGAGGATTTAGGTTTCCCCAAGGTTGGGGATGTCATCTCCCGACCGCCACCAGCCCCAGCAGTGACCTGGCAGGCCTAGAAAAGTGTCTGCCAGGCAGAGCCAGAGACCCACTTTTCAGGAAAAGCTTGATCCCAGAACACAGTCTTCTCTGTACAGAGTCCTGGGCTCGAGCCCTTTACTTACTGTGCAGCCATAACCCAGGCCCTTGGCCACATGTTCTGCCTCCTTCTCTGTAAACTGGCCGATCCCTGGACCCGCAGTGGTTGTCGGGAGAGACGCAGATGGTGTGGGAACCACCCAGCATGTGACCGATGCTCAGTGACCAATTCAGTTTATCCTCCTCCATCATGACTGTGAGGCAGCTGGAGGAATTTGGCCAAATCAAACTCAATAAATGAGTGTCTGCTCTGTGCCAGACACTGTGGATATAAAAACTAAATGAGACCTACTCACAGAACTCGTGGTCTGTCAGGAGGCAGCAACACATACACAGTCATCCTGCAATAGGACGCCAAGCACCCTCCCGGGATGCATTCAAGCATCATGAAAATGCTGGGGAAATTGGCCCCACCCCTACCCCCGGCCAGAATCCATGCACATCAGTTGGAAATATTGAGGAATAACTGCATCTGCTTGATGGTGTGTTCTGAAGCAATGAAAGATAGTTATGACAACTTCATGAAACATGAAAAGTGTTTAGGTAACTAAAAACGACCCAGCGCAAAATTAGGCTTTGACGATGATGACAAGCAGATAAAATAGGTATTCACTGACAAAGACAGGAAGACACAGGAAAATGAAAGCCACTGTGTTTTGTGGTCTCATAATTATGAGGAATCAAAAGAGTGTTTTTCTTTTTAAAATGCCCATTAATGTTTCTGTATTGGTATTTATGGTAAACACGCTTCGGTGGGAGGTCACGGCAGGCAAATGGAGCTGAGCTGTTGTTTCAGTTTCGCTGGGCACTAGGCTCGCTTCACTCGCTGGAAGAGTATTGCCAGTGTCTAGACCTTTATAAGGAGTAGAAAGGACAAGTTTTTGCTGCAAGGGTGGGGAATGTCTCAAATTTCAGAGTTCTCTAGTATTCCATTTTCTGGTAGGATTCTTTGCAACCCCATGGACTGTAGCCCACCAGGCTCCTCTGTCAATGGAATTCTCCAGGCAAGAATACTGGAGTGGTTAGCCATTCCCTTCTCCAGGGAATCTTCTGGGCCCAAGGATCGAACCCGGGTCTCCTGCATTGCAGGCAGTAGGATTCTACGGATGGGGAGCATCTTCTGAACACAAGACACAGACCCGCATCTCCACGCAGCATAGCCTAGTGGGAAAGCTCATATGTTCTGGAGCCAAACCGTTCAGGTTCAAATCCCAGCTCTGCCATTTGCTAGGTTGGGATTGCAATTGTATCTGCTTCCTAGAATTATGGTGCTGATTTAATGAGTTGAGTGAGTAAAGATAACATGTTTAGAAGAGAGCCAGGCAGATTCATGAGCTCGTTAAGTATAAGCTGTGATTATGGCCCTGTGAGTTAGGAATTATTGTCATTATCCCCATTTCACAGAGGCGGTCACTGAGGTTCAGAAAACTTAAGTGACCTTCCCGAAGGTCACCCGGCTAGTTTAGAAGGAGATCCAAGCTCAGAACCGGGCCTCCCTGACTCCAGATGTCCTCTCCTTTCGACTCTGCCAAGCTGCACACCTCAGTGGCCTGGTTAGTGGGTAACTGGTATATATATACTTCCATACTTGACTGAAGAGCTGTTCTCCTGAGCAGTCAGGCATCTCCCTCTGTGACCAGTTCCCCAGTTTTAGTGGGCGTTACCATGGAATGGTAAAAGGGGACACCAGCCCAGCCTGGTGAACCATGACTGTCCAAGACGGGGTGGACGTGAGGCGGGCACAGCACCCTCAGAGCCCCCCGATGAGGTGGACTCTCCCGCAGGGTGGGGGTTGGAGGAAGTCCGCGTTCCCTGCGTCCCTGCAGAATGTCTAGCGGTGGTCTGGGAAATGTTTTGATTCTCTCTCCACACAGAGGGCCTGCGGCTGGTGCGGTCCGCAGCATAAACTCCAGCCCAGCCCACCAGGGTCTCCTGGTCTCGCCCGTGGCCCCCCGCTGACCTCCCCTCTTGCTGTTCCCCGCAGCTCGTGGAGATCATTCTCTTCTGCCTGCTACTGTACTTCTACAAGGAGAGGAGCGCCAACAACATCGTGGTGATTCTCCTCTTGGTGGCCTTACTCGGTAAGCGAGGGTCGGGGTGGTTGTTTTGCCACTTCCCCGGTGGCTCAGACGGTAAAGCATCTGCCTACAATGCGGGAGACCCAGGTTCGATCCCTGGGTCAGGAAGATCCTCCAGAGAAGGAAATGGCAACCCACTCCAGTACTCTTGCCTGGAAAATCCCATGGACGGAGGAGCCTGGTGGGCTACAGTCCATGGGGTCGCAAAGAGTCGGACACGACTGAGCAACTTCACTTTCCTTTCTTTCTTTCTTTAAGTAGCACCAAAAGGAAATAATGGGTTTTGTTTACCGAGCTGCAGGCCCCTGGATCCAGGAGCTGCTGGAGGCCGACTCAGGCTGGTCTCTCTGCATCAGAGGCTGCAAGGGCTGGGTCCCTGCTCAGCGGACACAGACCTTGTTAGTTTCTTTTTTTTTTTTTTCAATTTATTTTTTCTAATTGGAGGAAAATTGCTTTACCATACTGTGTTGGTGTCTGCCTTGCATCAACATGTATCAGCCATAGGTATACATCTGTCCGCTCCCTCTTGGACCTCCCTTCCACCTCCAACCCCATCCCAGCCCTCAAAGTGGTCACAGAGCCCTGATTTGAGTTCCCTGAGTCATCCAGCAAATTCCCACCGGCAATCTATGGGCCTTGTCAGTTTCTTCGTTAGGGTTAGGGTTAGGGTTCGGTGTTCGGTCTTCTTGCTCAGATACCAAGTCTCCAAAGTGCCAAGAGAGGTGCTGCAAACCAGCTTGAGCAGTGAGCCAGACACCCCTCCCCTCAGGCTGCTGTTACTCTAAAGGGCGGAAAATGACAGTAAGTGGGTTGACAAACACATAAATAGTGTTAAGTTTGAGCAGTGACCATTAACAGCGACGGAGAAGAAATCAGAGTAAGGGTGGAGTGGGCGACTGGAAACCGACTCAGAGAAGTCAGGGGTGCAGTGGGCTGCAGCAGCAGAATCCCTAAGGATGCGTGTAAGGCCTGTCGGAGGTGAAGACTTAATTCTGGATTCAAAGGCAAGAATTGATTTCAATTTCTCTCTCTCTCTTTTTTTTCCTTTTAGAGGCACAGTGGGTACAGTGGGGGAGATGGCTCCTAAATCAGACTGGGGCAAGGCTCTCAGCTTGCATAGAGTTAGAGTTGCTAAGAGGAGCTGTGAGAAGCACCCCTTCCTCCTCGAGAGGGAGAAGTGGGTGCCACCCCCCCCCCCACTGCCTCCTAGTGACTCTCTCTGTGTCAGCCACACAGTCCCCTAAACATGGGCCTCAGAGAACACCCAGGTCTCAGGGCCGGGAAGGGGATTAAAGGAGGTGAGCACTGGTCCCCAGTGTGTGTTAGTTCCCCCTGTCCTTCCGGAAGCAATTCCACTCCAGCAGCAGGCTGTAGACCACGCAGATCCGTGTCATTGTTTGATAGGGTTCCACTATTTCTATTTTAACAGCTTTGTGCGTGCTGAGTCGCTTCAGTCGTGTCCAACTCTTTGCGACCCCATGGACTGTAGCCCACCAGGCTCCTCTGTCCATAGAATTCTCCAGGGAAGAATACTGGAATGGGTTGCAATACCCTCCTCCAGGGGATCTTTCCAACCTAGGGATCAAACCCACATGTCTTCTGTATCATGCATTGGCAGGCGGCTTCTTTACCACTAGGGACCACCGGGGAGGCCCTTAAACAGCTTTACAGAGATCTAATTTGGGTACCATAAAGTTCACCTGTTTAAAGGGTATAATTCAGTGATTTTCAGTACATTCACAGAGGATATAACCATCATCATAATTGAATTTCAGAATGTTTTTGTAGTCCCCCGAAAGAAACACCATGCCCACCGGCAGTCACTCCTTATTTTCCCATCTTCCCAGCCCATGGAAGTGGAAGTAGAAAGTGAAGTTGCTCAGTTGTGTCCGACTCTTTGCGACCCCATGGACAGTAGCCTGCCAGGCTCCTCTCTGTCCGTAGAATTCTCCAGGCAAGAATACTGGAGTGGGTTGCCATTTCATTCTCCAGGGGATCTTCCCAACCCAGGGGTCAAACCTGGGTCTTCTGCACTGCAGGCAGACTCTTTACCTTCTGAGCCACCAGGGAAGCCCATGGCCAGTCACTAGTCTACTTACTGTCTCTCTGGATTTGCCTTTCTGGACATGTTATACTAGTGGAATCATACACCCTGTGGCCATCTGTCACCGGCCTCTTTCACTGAGCATCGTGTTCTAGAGGATTCATTCCTGTTGTAGTCTGACTCAGGGGCCCATTCCTTGATGATTTTGTTTGCAAAGTGGTTTGGAAGATCGTGGTCCCAAATTTTCTCTCCTGGTGGATCAGAAGACCAGACCTATAGCAGGTGGATCCGATGGTTTAGAGTGAGAGGTCATTTCTGCAGTGCTGGGTAAAGCAGTGGTCTCTACAGTGAGGTGAGCAAGACAGTCCACTGGGCATATGGGAAGAAAAAAGCATTCAAATCAGCATTCGTTTTTCTCTTCACCTTTTAAGTATGTTTCCTGTATATGTTTTATAATATACATACTATGAAAGCCCAGAATTACATGACTCTAATTTTAAAATAAATCAACATACATATTTTAAAAGTATGTACGTATGCGTAGGGGTGTGCATTCTAGAACATCTGGAGACCTCTAGTCTGAGGAAATGTTTTTAAAAATACAACTGGGTAAGCATTTTTAAAAGACCAAAAAGGAACTTCCCTGGCATTCCAGTGGCTAAGATGCCACGCTTCCAATGCTAGGGACCCAGGTTCGATCTCTGGTCAGGGAACTAGATCATACGTGGAGGCAACTAAGACCTGGGGCAGCCAAATAAATACATGAATATCAAAAAAAAAAAAAAAGACCAAAAAAGCTCTCTACACATCACATTTTCCCTGTAGATTTCCTTGACATCGTGTTCCAGACACAGCGCTGTCACTCTGGGATTCCATGTGAACTCACTGCCCTTTTTTGATTGAGTTCAGAAGGGACGTTTGGAAATCCCTGGTGGGGTTTTGCTTGCCTCTCTGCTCCCACGGGAAAGCACAGAAGACCTCACTGTGTCGATCATTGGCACCCGAGGCACCCATACATCCTTGTTAACCTTCCACAGGCTCGATGACTGTGGTGACGGTGAAGGCTGTGGCCGGGATGCTGGTCCTGTCCATACAGGGGAACCTGCAGCTTGACTACCCCATCTTCTATGTGATGGTCGTCTGCATGGTGGCCACTGCCGTCTATCAAGCCGCGTGAGTTGCAGAGCCTTTTCTCCCCTGGGCCTCCCCACAAAGGTCTCTTCCAGCTTCTGGGTCCGATCACAGTCGTTTTTGAAGCTGTAGGGAAGGGAGAACGTTCACAGGCAGCCGGTCACCAGGATTTGGCATCCACTGTGGAGCGAGAGGCATCGCTCATTGGCTGAGTTATCACACGGAGGGCCTTTTGTGCCACTTGAAAAGCCTCGAGTGGATGTATTTTTCTCTCTCTGCCTTAAAGATGTGAGAACTGCGTGATCAGAGTCAGCCTCCCTTCCCACCTGGACCGAGACAGGTGCCCGTTTGAAGGATCTCCAAAAAGAGCTGTGCCATCCCCATAAGGCATTTGTTTGTCGTCCAAGAAAGAGCAAGCAGTTGTTATTTCTTGTACTCAAGAAAGCTTCCCAAGTAGAAGAGCAAGATGATGGTTTCTCCCTCAAAAGCAGGAGTTGTGAGGGTAGGAGGCCTGGGCCTCGTTCACGTCTGAGACCGATGACCAGCAGGGAGCCTGGGCGGCTACGTGCGGGACCCACGTGGGGACGGAGGGTGGACAGTGCAGGACTCGGCGTGGTGTGTGCGGCAGGTCAGGCCCCGGGCCCCAGCGGCCGGGGCTCACCCCCACCCACAGCGCCGCGGGGCGGCGGGGTGACCGCTGCTGCCCAGGTACTCTGCTCTCACCGCCTTCCCACGAGCTTGAGTTCACTTGGCCCCCACAACGCCGTCATCCTCATTTTACACGTAAGGCACTGCGAGAGCCCAGAAAGTGGTAGAGCTGAAGGCGAACGCAGCCGCCTGACTCCCTCCCTTGCCCCGCCCCTCGCCCCTCTGCCCTAAGCCCCTCCTCTAAGCTTCTCTAAGACAGAGTCCTCGTCTGCAGACAGAATAACCATGTGCACGCGCTCAGTCGTTCAGTCTTGGCCAGCTCTTTGTGACCCCATAGACTGCAGCACGCCAAGCTCCTCTGTCCGTGGAATTTTCCAGACAAGAATGTTGGGAGTGGGATGCCGTGCCCTACTCCAGGAGATCTTCCTGACCCAGGGATCAAACCCATATCTCCTGCATCCCTGCATTGCAGGCGGATTCTTTACCACTGCACCACCTGGGAAGCCAAACCGTAGCTTCTTTTATGATTTTTGTTACTATTATTATGCCAGTTAGTATTTTGTCACTATTATTATGTCAATTATTAAGATGTTACAGAAAAACCCGGATGAACTTTTTGATCAAGTCATGAGTATGCTTAGTCCTCCTACAGTGATCCTGGTCAGCACCCCTGAGCCCCCACGCAAGGCTCTGCGCTGTGTCCTCCAAGGGTTGCAGAGATGACCAGGCGGCTTCTCACTCAGGCAGTCAGCACACATTCACTGAGGCCTGCTGTGTACTAGGCCCAGGCTGGGTCTTCTGCACACAGAGCCGTGAGCGGTCGTCACTGAACTCAAGGCGCTCACAGCCCTGGTGTGGGGACAGCGGGGTAAACAGACGATTACAGTTGGGCAGGAAGTGTGTTTTGGCGTAAGCAACTCTGCAATAATAACCACAATGCTATGCAGTACAGTTACAATTCAGTCGCTCAGTCATGTCCGACTCTTTGTGACCCCATGGAACGCAGCACGCCAGGCCTCCCTGTCCATCACCATCTCCTGGAGTTTACTCAAACTCATGTCCATTGAGTCGGTGGTGCCATCCAACCATCTCATCCTCTGTCATCCCTTGCAGAGAATGGACAAAGAATATACTCCTAAATGATAGAGAGTTTATTGTAGATGGAGAGATGGGGAATGACTTTAATTTCCTCTCTCCTTTTTCCTATATTTATCGCAGTGACTGTTGAATTAAGAAGCAAATGTGTTTTAAAAACAAAATAATGACAGCACAAGGCAGTTAGTGATAAGTGCTCCAAGAGTTTCTTGGCATGTTTAAGAGATCAGGAATGGCTTGGGTTGGGAATGCAGGTCACACAGAGGCGAGGAGAAGGGCATTGCAGTGATGAGAACCATGTGGGCAGAGGTGCTGGAAGGAGAAGGGGGTGAACTGCAGGCTGTGTGTCTGGGGGAGGAATGGGAGCTAAGTGTGGACGCCAGCCCGGGAGGCATACGAGGCTGGCATCTTTCTAAACCCGCAGAGTGCCCCTTCATGGCTTGTCTTCGCTCTTCACACCAAGCCTGCAGTCACTGGCTTTCTCCTCTGCCCTCCGACATCCCCCCACCGTGCACTAACTAGAGCGCCTTTGTGTTGAAGGTTTTTAGGTCAAGCCTCGCAGATGTATGACTCCTCTCTGATCGCCAGCGTGGGCTACATTCTGTCCACCACCGTGGCCATCACAGCAGGTGAGGGTGCGGTGGCCAATTTCTGTCTTCCACCTTGACAGCAGGTTCACTACCCTGGGGTGGGGGGAGGGAGCACCACCTCCATCAGAAGGCCAGTTCTGCTGAGCTGTTCTTCCCGTCACAGTTGTAGATTGTCTTGTGGGGAAAGAGAGACCTGGGTTTTCACCACAGCACAGACACAGAGCTGTGTGGCTCTGGGAAAATCACTTCACCTCTCTGAGCCTCAGTTCCACATTCCTAAAATGGGGGTAATAATACTTTCCTCCTAGAATTGAAATATGAAAGTGTTAGCTGCTCAGTCACGTCCGACTCTTTGCGACCCCATGGACTGTAGCCCGACAGGCTCCTCTCTGTCCATGGAATTCTCCAGGCAAGAGTACTGGACTGGATAGCCATTCCCTTCTCCAGGGGATCTTCCTGACCCAGGGATCGAACCTAGGTCTCCTGCATTGCAGGCAGATTCTTTTCTGTCTGAGCCACCAGGAAAGCCTAGAACTGAAATATGCACAGTCCAAATGTCCCTTACTTTGTACTGCTTGTGCAGGTTTCATTAACAATTTTTACCATCATCTGCTAATTCCACAGCTTCCACTGGCCAAGTGACCACATATTTCTTCTATATAATTTTTAGAGATCATTCATATATATATATATATACACACACACACACACACATATACACAATTACATATATATACATATATTTATAAAACAAGTGCTCAGTAAGTGATTTCCATTATTACATTCCCCTTTTCTTCTAATTCACCTCCATATTTCTGTTTCTTTTACTTTCTGAGGTGGCTTCAGAGGCTACAGACATATCAGTTTGTTTGTAAGTAGCGGTGGTGACTGAGATTTTCAGAGTAAAAAGACCAGTAAGAGGCGATGTGCCTCCCTTTGAGGAAGGCCCAGCCGTACAGCCGTCTGCTTTGCCCTGCAGTATGGACGGGTGGTGGCCAGACCCTGCCTACAGAGATCAGGATAAGAGGGCATGCAGCCCAAGCCTGCGCCATGAGCAGGACCAGGATGGAGTAGGGCTTGACCCAGAGCAGCCAGAAAGCTAACCTCATGTGGATTGCATGGAAGTTTCAGTCATGGCCACTGACTTCAGTCCAGGCAAGCGTGAAAGGAACAGGAACACTGTGGGTGAGCTGGAAGTCAAGCTCTGGGTGCAGCGAGAGGCGAGTAGGGTGGGGGGTTGTGGAGCGGTGACATGAGTCCAGACTGATGCCAGCTGCAGACTGAGGGTGGCAGGCCCATGGCACTTCTGTGCCACAGGGCGTGACATCTGCCAACTGAATGAGGCTGGAAAGCTCCAACGGCTTAACCACAAAGCCTTGGTTTTCCGTCTTAAGAAAGACAAGGGAAAAGAGTTGCATAAAAACTAAGTAAGGTTTTTAGCTCATAGTGTCATGTCACTGGGGGATGCCGGGTGAAGGGTACGCGGGAACTCTGCTGTTTCTTTACATCTGTTAATAATACTATTTCAAAAGAAAAAGAAAAAAAGATGGAGGTAAGAGGGGCGGTAGGGGAGGAAAGGACAATCTGTTCTCCCAAAAGGCTTTTAGTCCACTCTTCAATACCTTAGCAGGCTCAGTTCTGGTGTGTTGGGTCCCTTTGGTTTCCTGCAGAGAGGGGAGTGCCACCAAATCCTAGGCAGACTGGCCAGTAGGTGATTTGAAAAGAGCTCACTTGTATTTTCCACTGTTCGCTACTCAGGCGCCGTCTTCTATCTGGACTTCCTCGGGCAGGATGTGCTGCACGTCTGCATGTTTGCACTGGGGTGAGTCCCGTCCTGGCCCCCCCCCCACCCCCATATTGCAGGCAGGCTGCCCCTCTCCCCCACCCCTGCTCCAGCCTCTAAGCCAGTCCCTTCAAGCCAAAGGAGCAGCTGGCAGTGGGAGCTTTGTCCCCAGAGCTGAGCGTTTTGCCCCCTAAAGGGTTTTATTTTTCCTCGCTTCTCTTTTGGGCTTTCATTTCCTTGTCATTTCGAACACATCACATTTTGACCCGTGAAAAGACTCTCAACCTCACCTCCGATCAAAGAAATGCATATTGAAGAAGAATTTTAATAAAAAGAAATACATATTGAAGCTACACAGAAAAATGAAGTTGCTCAGTCGTGTCTGACTCTCTGCGACCCTGTCGACTGTAGCCTGCCAGGCTCCTCCATCCAAGGGATTTTCTAGGCAAGAGTACTGGAGAGGGTTGCCATTTCCTCTCCAGGGAATCTTCCCCGACCCAGGTCTCCCACATTGCAGGCAGACGCTTAACCGTCTGACCCACCAGGGAAGCCCCAAGACGCCGTCATTTTGCAAAAACCAACAGGATGGGTGATGTCACACGTTGGTGAGAGGAGACCAGCTCTCTGCCACAGTGTGAGAAGTTCTTTGATGTGGGAGGACAATTTGGCAATATCAGCAACGCGTTGTTTTTTTTTAATTTTCAGTTGGAGGATGATTGCTTTCCAATGTGTGTTAGTTGCTATTGTACAACAGTGTGAATCAGCCATAGCTATACATAAATGCCTTCCCTCTCCAGCCTCCCTTCCACCACCACCCCCATCCACCCCTCTAGGTCATCACGGAGCACTAAGCTGAGCCCCCGTCTTACACAACAGCTCCCCACTAGCTACTTATTTTACACACGGTAGTAACGTATATATGTCAATGCTAGCCTCTCAATTAGTAAAGTGTTTAAGTGAGCATGCCTTTTGTTGCAGCTTTCCATTTCTGATCATTTATCTCAGAAAATTAATTGAAATGGGACATAAAGACACGTGTATAAGGGTGTTTATTCATTTTAAAATCGATGGTATAAGCACATAATTGAAAGCAACCTAAATGCCCATCAGTAAAATACAGGCTGAATAAATTACACTAGGGTGGGGAGGATAGAAATGACTCCTCGGTTGACCTGGGTGGTGATCCCACGAGTGTGTGCACAGGTAAGATTCACTGAGCTCCACATTTCGGGATTGTGCCTTTTGTTGCATGTAAATTATACCTCAGTTTTTAGAAAGTGTGCTTGTTTACCTAAGCTCTGGAGAAAAGAGCAAAACAAAACGAAAAGATTGGAGACTCTGGAAGAATATACCCCTGTGTTGGGGACTGGGGTTTGTACAGGGGCTTTTCAATTTTTACTTTCTCTGTTCCTATACTGATTGAATTTAGGCTATAAAGAACTTTTTAATTTTAAAAAAACCACACTTTTAAAGGCAGAGGACTGATGCAGGGTAAGAGGAGGTGAAGAATTGTGAGGGTTTGGCTCAAGAGAGCCTGGTTTGTTCTGATTGAGGCCTGGGTGGCCACACGGCCTGTTAGTACTCACCTCCCATCTGCTCTCTGCTGATCCCAGGCCCGGCCGCTTCTCAGGGCCGCTCAGCGATGAGTCCCTCTGCAGCCTGCAGCCCGCCTTTGCCCTTTCTCCCACTTCCTGTGCTTGAACCCTCCGTCCAGCCTCACTCTGGCCTTGCTTCTCTTCCTCCCTCATGTGTCTTCACCAGGTGCCTCATCGCGTTCTTGGGCGTCTTCTTAATCACACGGAATAGGAAGAAGGCCATTCCCTTTGAGCCCTATATCTCCATGGATGCCATGCCAGGTAATGTCAAATCCCACGTGTCCAGCTGGCCAGCCCATCCGCATAGAATGACTGCTACTTCCTATTTAAAAAGAGACAACCGGCCTCTGGGTTTGGTCACAGGGAAGATGTGCTGTGCTATTATGGTGTGACTGTCTCTCTCTCTCTTTTTTGTTTTTAGTTTTTTCATTTGATCTTGGTTTGCAAAAGAGGAGGCAATGGCTAAGGCACCTCGATTGGTTTTGAGCACATCTTGTCAGTTGCCATGTCTACTGGGGGATCATTTAAAGACCATCCTGATTCACCCTGGGTATAATTATGACCCACAGCATGAGACTTCATGCCTACAAGAGGGAAAATCCATTCATCTCAGTGGAATGGAATGATCAGAGAGGGGAAGGATGATTGAAATTCAAATACCATAACTCCATTCCTCAGATTCACAAGGAAGTGGATTGTTTTGGAAAGTCTAATACCCCAGGGAACTCAGGGTTCACACCAAGACGCACACATTCACATGATAGGAACGTAAATGCACGAATCAGCTGAGTACTGCACAAAAGGGAGTGGGGGGGCTTGTGGAAAACTGGACAGTTCCTTCCAGCCTCGGGGGATTCAGGTGAGAAGTTTATATGTCGGCCCAGCCCCGTCTAGATTTGCTGGTCTAAATTCTCTAGGATACAAGTGACCACTAGCTTTCACACTTTAACTCAAATTTAATTTTTATTTTAGATATAGAAGATGGAACTCTCTCCAAAACATAATCTCCCACCCTCCATTAAGACAGTCTCATGAACAAAATACAAGTGCAGTGATGGCGTAGAATACTACTTAATATAGCACTCGAGAGGCAGGCATGTTCTCAGGGCTGACCGAGGTGCCCCTGATCTAATTGGCCCAGGATTTATGTGTCTACTTTTTATATTATTTCCTCATTTCTTGCTATTAAGCTGTTGTCTGTTATTCTTGCTGTTACCAGCCTGCCTGTTAATAGCAACTCTGTGTCAATCTTCTCATTTGACCCAAGTTGTTCAAATCGCGTATAAAATTAAAATTAAAATAAATAAGCTCTGAGTTGGGGCCTTAAGGTTTCTCCTAGGAGTTAAATGCATGAGCTTTAGTGCATGGACCTTTGAAACATCTAATCTGGCTGCTCAGATGCCTTTTTTGCTTACTTCCTTGTTTCTCGGCTGTGTTCCGGATAGATGAGGGCGCTGGATAGCTGAATTCCAGATAGGTGAGGTGTCAACTCTGTGTGTGTGTGTGTGTGTGTAAGTATGTGTATGCACATGTGTGTTTGTGTGTTTATAAACCGTGTATGTGTATACATCTGTATATTTGCACATGCATATATGCCGGGTGTTTTTTCTGGTAGCAGATAGAAGGTAACCTAAGGTGACCTCAGATGCCCACATTCTGTGACCTGTTTGTGGATGTGGCCCTCACTTTCTCTGTGCCTCGTGACCTGTGGGAAGCTGGGTGTTGGAGAAAGGAGACCCTGCCCTCCTGCCAAGGCATGTCAGGACTGAGTAGGCCTGGGGTCTGTACTATGAGGTGGAGCATGGGCTTGGAGTTCAGATGACCTGGATTCAAATCCCATCTCCCATACCTCAGTGGGATAGTATGTTAAAGGTCCCTTGCACAATGTTTGGGATATGGTAGATGCCTGGTTCAATTTGATTTCACTTTACTTTTGCTTTAAAAAAAAAAAACTTTGAAAGTTCCAAACATTTGTTTGACCTGATGCCAGGTAGAACAGAAAGAAAACCCTTAAAGAGTTGCCTTTCTAGCTGCTTGGTTTCCCTAGTCAGCATCAGGACCTTCCTGGCTTTTGGTCTCACCAGACTGACATCTTCACAACCAACCAGTAGCCACCGTTCAGGAGGCATGCAAGTTCCAGAGATTCAGTATATGTCACAGTTAGGAGAGGCTTTAAATAATTCCAGAACCTGCAAGACTTCTAGAAAATGAGAAGGAGAAAAACAGTACCTGACAGCGAGGAGCTGGCTTGGCTCTCATGGCCAGGCCTTGGGACTCCTGGTTGAACATAGACCATTTCACAGAATATCAGCATCAGACAAGGATGTTCTGTGACCCTGATGGATCAAAATACAAACAGGACCACACCGTTGTCATGTCCAAACACAGACAAAGCATGAACATTGTCTGAACGAAAAGACCAACCATCCACCTGACATGAGTGACTCCTGCTTCTTTACCAATCACAGTTTTAGTCTCCATCTTATCTTCTTTCCTTCTGGATAACAACCATTAAGATCCCCAGTTATAGAATTAGCCCCACTTCCTGAAAACATCTAACCCAAAGCAAAGCACGCTTCCTAGACCCTCCTAACATCACCCTTCACAACCCCGATCCTGTAATAGCTCCTTTTTGACACCCACTTACTGAAACAGTTCCCCATGGTGTACATCTTCACTGCCAGGAGTCAAGAAACCTAAATTTGTTAGACTGTAGGTGTATTCCTGGTGGGTTTGGGCTGGAGAGCATTGACAAAGCTAAACCATGCCTGTGAAGCCAACTCCCTTCCCTGAGAAATAGGCATCCCCTCATCTCCTCTAATTTCCTCCCTAAAATCCAAACTACACACTTTTAAACTGTACCCTTCAAATTCCCATCAGCCAGTGCTTATGCAGTGTGAAGGCGAAGAGCCTCCCACAGACCAGGACTTCCCAGGCTATTTGTAGGATAGATAAAGAGCAAGGGCTTTGGTGTCCGATTCCAGCTCTATCTCTCATTTAGCTGTGTGTCCTGGGTAAGTTACTCCACCTCTCTGAATCTCTGTGTTCTTACCCATAAAAGGAGGATAGTAGCATATTTCTGTCCTAGGATTTTGGAAGACTGAGGTCTGTAGGGAGCCCAGACAGCATTCTGATTAAGAGTGTAGGCTTCAGAATTTAAATCACTGAATCTGAACCCTAGAACTGCTGCTTACTAGCTTGTGACCTCAGGCAATCTCCTTAACCTCCAACTGCCTATTTTCCTAAATCAATAGTTGTGAGAATCAAATGAGAGAAAACTTTATAACATTATAACTTTATGGCCTCTGCCACCAACTAAATGCCCAGCCCCTTTATATAATGCCAGTAACATTATTGCTCTTATTGTTACTATTTAAAGCACTTAGCCCAGTGCATCAGGCATAGGAAGCAGTCAGATGTCAACTGTTATTATCATCATAGTTTCATGGGAAATAATTTGCATTCAGGATTTTTATTACTCAACCAAGGGGCAAGAGAATTTAAAGTGTCTTAACTCCCTCCCAGGAAAAAGAATTGGCCTCAGAGGAGGCCGGGTCCCACCTGACTAGGGGAATTGTAGCATACATTTAAAGGAATTAACAAGTAAAATATTTGCCCTCAAATATAAGTAGAAATTCAATATCAGTGTGCCCAGAAGTAATAAGCAAAATCACATCTAACCCCGTATGTGAATCAGGGATGATGATGTCAAAACTCTCCCTCTGAGCATCAGGATATCTGTGTATCACATATCTGTGACACAAAAGTTATCCTCTTCTCTCAATAGTATAATGACATTTTTCCGGATCCTGATCTAACTCAGCAGTAAAGTGTTGGCATCTACCACGTTCAAAGCACAGTGCTCGTTCCCGTCTGACCCAGACATTCCCACCTCCTTCGAAGCCAACCAATGGTTTCTCTTGACAGTGGCTGGTCTGTGTGCATATTTCCTAAAGATTCATCCCTTGTTGCTTAGAAACTGTAATATTTCTAGTGTGTATTTACGGGTGTTCTTTTTTTTATCTAAAGCATTCAGGAAATTGACAATGCACATGATTAGCTCCTGAGCACCATAGTTAGTCCATGATGGGATATACGCAGCCTCCTTTGGCTCTCTTATCACATAATGATTTGGGGGGATGGATTTTGTTTCAGGTATGCAAAACATGCATGACAAGGGGATGACCGTCCAGCCTGACCTCAAAGCTTCTTTTTCCTACGGGGCACTGGAAAACAACGATAACATTTCTGAGATCTACGCCCCCGCCACACTGCCCGTCATGCAAGAAGAGCACGGCTCCAGAAATGCCTCTGGGGTTCCCTACCGCGTCCTGGAACACACCAAGAAGGAGTGAGCCCACCTGGAAGGAGACCCCTGTCCTCTAGTCACAGCTGCTCAAGCCGTACTGACAGTGGTTCAATCCTTGATTCTAAAACTTGCCTTTCAAGTCTTTTTTTTTTTTTTTTTTTTTAATCCATGAACTCTGTGGATGAGCATCTCGAAAAGCCTTTGCCTCAGACAAGGGGTAGATTACCTTGGTCCTGGAAATTTCAAATGATGAGGGTGGGAGTGGGGGCATGAAAGCAGTATTCTAGGTGGGCAGTACAGAGTTCAGCCTCTGCCTGGTTTAGCCCAACCAGACTTGGAAAGCCTTCATCATCCTTGCGGATGGTACCTGGGCTTTCCCAGGCAGTGACCAAGGGTGGCCACATTCTTCAGACCTAAAGCCAGGCAGAGATTCTGCCCCTACTTTCCAAATCCACTGAGAGGCTGGAAACCTCCAGATCTAGTCTTCCCTCACCTTGCGTGCAGGCCTGGTTTCTGCCCACCTCCGTCTTGATTCTGTACTTGGGATAACCTTCATGTCACCTTCACGTGGCATGGCGAGCCAGCCCCAGGTGCCCCATTCTGTCGCTCACCTGTAAGGAGCTCCCACCTGCTTTCTGAGTGTCTGGGCCTCTCCAGTGAAGATGTGCTGGGTGTGTTTGTACTGGGTCCACTCTGGAAAACCATTTGATTCTGGTTCTGCTGCTTTTTTTCCCCCTCAAGGGAACTGAGAAATTAAGAGAAGGGGGAGAGTAAGAAAGACAGAGTAGGAGTGATGAGACTTCAGCCCTTAAAGGAAGAAAAATTCCTTTTCATTTGACAAGAGGGGACTGCATCACTTATCAAAGGACAGACAGACAATCTGGCTGTTTTGTGTTGTATTCTCCTGCACACCAGTGCCCTCTGGGAAAACTGGGGGGTGCTTATTTCAGAGACAGCCTTGCTCATCTCTCCTCCATCCTCTCCGGTATTGATCGACTAGCCAAGCTTGAGTCATTGGCTAACTTCCTCGGGGTCAATAGACTCTTTGCGTCCCCATATACATACATCTTCGAGAAGTAAGAATTCTCAGAAATGGGACTGCTGCCTGCTGGCTGCATACACAGCTGTCTTCCTTTAGGCTGACTGTATACTTCTGAGAATAGCAGGTAAAGGTCTGTAAACTTTAATGAAAGTAAGGATCCCTTAGGGAATTTATTTAAAATGCAGATTCCCACACCCCGACTTCAGATACTCTGATTAAGTGGGACTTGGACCAGGCCCAAGCATCTGCATTCTTGGGACTTTCATGGTGGTCCAGGGGTGAAGACTCCACACTTTCAATATAGGGGGCACAGGTTGGATCCCTGGTCCAGGAACTAAGATCCCACAAGCCGAGTGGCGTGGCCAAAAAAAAAAAAAGAGTCTGCATTCTTAACTGTCAGCACAGGTGATTTTGAGGCTGGTTATCCAGGTATCACACACCTTGAAAGTCTAATAATTGAGAGAGCCAGTCTGCTAAAATCCTGACACCCCACCCCCCACCCCGTTGGAAAGCTGGAATTACGATTGCTTGTTTCCTTTTGGGGGTTGATTTGGCAGGCTCAATAATCCCCATAGGATTCGTGGCATTTCTCCATCCGGTGATTACCTCTTAGAACTGCACTTCCTGCTTCTCTAGGCAGCCTTGAGCTAACAGGCAAGATATCAGTGTTAACAGACCAGTGTTGATAGATCATTAACCTTTATGGATTATGCTTAATACTGATTTAGTACCTTGTCTTTGAAGCTGATGTTTGTTGCCTGGGATAACCAGTTCTTTATTGTGTCTTAACTACTTCTGTATTGTGTCTTACGTGCCCAAGAAGGCAACAGACAATGACTTTTTTTTTCCCCTTTAGGATAGGTATCAACTCAGTTCAACAATATTTGTGAGACACTGACTATGTGTTAAACATTTGGACGGTAAGGGCTACAAATAATAAGACCTGGTTTCTGCCCTCCAAGCCAGAAGCAAGAGACACAAATATGTGGACAACTATGGCAAGGGAGGCCAAGTATGATAGTGGACCACAGAAAATGACAGTTATGGAGGCCCTGCTAAAGGTCAGGCCCTGAGCTCAGAACTGGGTATTCAGAATTGGAGATGATTTTGGCTAGACTCCCTGATGGGTGGCAAATCTAGCTAAGATTTGAGCAAAACATAGAAAATAGAGTGATCACCCCCAGGCAGAGGGGCCAACTTTTTCAAAGGCACAGAGATGAGTTGGGGTGGGGGCAAAGGAAGAGCTGGGGTGGGTGATGGAGATTAACCTGCAAAGATGAGCAGTCAGCGGTGGAATCATGGAGAAACCTGAAGGCCTGGCTGAGGAGTTTAAAGCGTATCCCAGAGAACACAGGAGCCATTGATGGTTCATGAGGGCGAGAGTGGCAGATTGGAAAGGAGGCTTTATGCAGAGCAGGAGAAGAATTTGAAGGGGCAATAGAAGCCACTGTTCAAGGTCAGGCTGCATGCCTGCAAGAACAAAACACAAAAGGAGAATTAAAATCCAGTTTCACTGCTACTCATATTTTCCCAGTGATGTTTCCAATGTGGGTCATAGACCAGGAAGGGATGTGAGGGTGGAGTGGATGAAAGAAAGGTAGATTTAAATGCGGCAAACCCAGGTGATCAGCTGGCACCTTGTATGCTCCCAGCCTTACTCTGTCATCTGCCCTGTGTTTGGTGATGTCTCTTGGAGTCCGGCAAGAGTGACGAATGGATACAAGTGCGCTGTAATCTTGGGTCAGCTGACGATCATGGGTTCAGCACCACCCAGGAGCTGCTGCTGGGGCCTGGGCAGCACCTGCCTTCAGGTTTAGGGTAACAGCATCATCTCACGAGGTGGAGTACAGGAGGGCTGGGCAGAGCTGCATGTTGGCTGCCAGAGTGGAAGCCTGGGGAGGTCACGTGGTCCCAGGAAGAACGGCTGATGTGGAGCCATGGCCCCCAGAATTCTGACTCTGGTCTTGAGCCGGCATCTCCCAGTCTTTGTGCCCGAGTGTAAGTGGACTGTTTGCTGGTGACCGATAAGCAGCACTTGCTGTCAGGATGGGGACAAGGACATCCATTTTCCATTCGCAGCCCTGATTCTTTGTTTTTCTCGTGGTCCTCACATCCCCAAACCCTCTCGAAGGCTCCAAGCAATGGGACATGTCCCACCAGCATCCCCTTCCCTGCCGCCAGTACGTAAGGCAAGGTCCCCAAACTTGGGTTTCAACTTTGCATTTGTTCTCAGCTTCCTCTGCCTGCCCCACTCTGTCCCCCTCTCCTAAAGACTGGGATTCTGGAGTCCCTACTCAGACATTAAGATCGGTTCACAGACGGGCGCCTGCAGCGTTTAAAGAGAGCTTAGCCCCACTCCACCCTCCGGCAACCCTCCCATGGAGCTGCAGGTCTGAAGATGCCATCACATGAAGCCTTGGGGGGTGGGAGGGTTTTGCAGGATGGACCGGATGCTGGGTAGGCGAGAGAGAATCAACCTCTCTCCATCACTTTCCTGGTGGAAGCCAAGCAGCTGGATGGCCCAGTGTGGAGACAAGATGTCCATCAGGGTAGTGTTGGGGAACCTCCAACCTGCAGCCTTGTGAGTTCCAAATCCGGGCCCACACTGGCTGGTAGACGAAACAGTTTTACTGATTCTACTGTGTGTTTCTCTGAGAAGCTGTGTAAGTGAAGTCACCTTAGAATATATATTTATGGGGATGCTCACATTTTGTTAATTTAATGACTAATATATGGCATGTTCTTATTTTTCAAAAATAAATGTGTGTGCTAGGTACAAATAACATTATGAAGTGGTATTTAATTAAAAACAAAATCCACATGACACCTGTTGGGTTTGAGTCTTTCATTTGATTAATACTTTCTAGAGTTACCTACCACAGTGCTATCCCGTAAAACTCTGCCATGACCGAGATGTTCTATGTCTGCTGCCGAAATGGCAGCCACTATCCACGTGTGGCTATTAAGCATGTTAGATGTGGGGATGAAACCTAGGAATTGGGTTTTTCATTTTATTTAAATTCAGTTCCCTGCCATGGCTGATTCATGTCAATGTATGGCAAAAACCACCACAATATTGTAAAGTAATTAGCCTCCAACTAATAAGAACAAATGGAAAAATAAAAAATAAAAACAAAAAAAAATAAATTCAGTTCCCTGAAATATCCCCATATATAGCTAGTAGCCACTATAGGAACAGTGAGGATCTGAGGTGTCTAGGATTGCAGTTAAGGATGACTTAAGCACCTTTTTTTTCTTGTAGTGGTGAAGAGTATAGCCTCTATGGTCACACTACTTGGGTTTGGTTCTTGGCTCCACTACTTTTTAGCTGTGTGGCACTGAACAAGTTGCTTAAATTCTTTGTGCCTCATATGTAAAACCAGGATAGTAACAGTAGCTTTCTAAGGGTTATTATGAGGATTAGGTGAAGTAATAGATGTAAAGTCTTAAAACTATGTCCAGCATTCTGGACATAGTACACTATCCATCAGGACACTATATTACACTGACCAATGGTTTCCCTATTTACTTACTTACTTTGGGGTGGTGGTTTAGTTGCTAAATTGTGTCTGACTCTTTGTGACACCATGGACTGTAGCCCGCCAGGTTCTCGGTCCATGGGATTTCCCAGGCAAGAATACTGGAATGGGTAGCCATTCCCTTCTCCAGGGGATCTTCCTGACCCAGGAATTGAACCCCCGTCTCCTGCTTGGCAGGCGAATTCTTTACCACTGAGCCACCTGGGAAGCCTTATTCACTTTGAAATTGTATAATGAACACTTGTGACTTTTCTTAGGTAATTCTAAGCACATGTGTCTCTCTTCATTCTAAGTTTCCAATCTACAAAGGTAGGTGTGGAATAGTGCCTAAACATTTATATCTACACACACACAGAATAATGTATACCCATATATTTAACAGGAACATATATGCCACAAACTATATACTAAGACTTCATATACATCTCAATTCTTCTGTTTAACAATTCCATGAGGTAAGTTTTA